GTCTACCCCAACATGGCTGGCCAAGTTCTCGTATTCATATCCCCCAGGAACAAGGTGGCCCGGTTATATCCCCAGGCACTGGATTCCATTTTCGTCGCCTCCTACGACTCGCAGGGCTACGGTGGAGGTATTCGAACCCACATCCACACAGGATTTCTCCTCTCACTCACTCAACTAACTGTCCTGCTTACAGAATCTCGGCACAGACCGCATAGAAAATATCGTTCCTCTTTTGCTGTTTAGGAGCCGTTATTTAGTAACGGGAGTTGTCTGTTTGTTTCGCGGTCGTTGCCTAACAACGGGCCTACATGCCATAACATTAAGATGAACATTAGTTTATAGGCAAAGAACATGAATTTGTAAGACAGTTGGTGGGCTAACATTATATTATAGCACGATAAGAAGTGAAGAGATATGAATAACATAGTGTTCGTTTTCAGTGGTTATTTAACGATGTTTTCGGTATAGAAACTAAACAGGGCTGGTAGGATAAATAATGAATTAATTGAAAATAAGTTGGATGGAAGAGGTCGTGGCCTGATCGCGGCATTCGCCTTGAGGAACTAAAAATAACTATAAAATCCACCAGTGAGGATAACCGGTGTCCTGGCCGAGAATCGAACAGAGTACCTCCTTAATACAAGACTGGGCCGCGCCACGGCTCAAGCGATTAGTCGCTGGCTTCCCACCGCGGAGGCCCGGGTTCGATCCCGGGGTCTAGTCAAGTGGGATTTGTGGTGGACAAAGTGGCGCTGAGGCAGGCTTACTGCGAGCACTTCGGTTTACTCTGCCAATCTTCATTCCACCAATTGCTCCACAATCACCCTCACCTATCATCTGGGGCTGGTACAATAGGCCAGAAGTGGCCGCAGTACAAGGGACTTAGTCCCACCCCACTATCAATAAAACAAGACTAGAGCGTTCCCTCTGGACCATCCTGTTCGGCTACGCGTGGAATGCGGGATACGAACTTCCGAACAGCAAAGAAATGAAGAATTTATGAGACCACGAATTCCACGAATAAGAGAATTCATAGGATAAAAACGAAAAGAAATGAGGAAGGGGCTGACAGAATTCCAGGATCACGACAATGACGTCCTTACAGACAAAATGCATTCGTACCAAAGTGGAGAGGCTAGAGTTGGTACTAACTTCGCCGACAAGCGGTGGTCGCTCGGTCGGTATAGTTCGCTTGCGGACTAAAAACACGGAGTTTTTGTTTGTATATATTGAAACATCTCTTCAACTTGGCTCGACGTTCAGCTCATCAACTCATCATGGAAGGGTATTTGTGCTCTTTCTCCGTACCGTATACAGGTACCCAAAACAGACCATAATCGCTTCAACGCGTTTCCAGATTTATCATTCAAAATCACGTGTCACTGAAAAAGTATACGGATAATAAGTGAAGTATTTTTTTTATTGCTAGTGGGGTGGGACTAAGTCCCTTGTACTGTGGCCACTTCTGGCCTATTGTACCAGCCCCAGATGATAGGTGAGGGTGATTGTGGAGCAATTGGTGGAATGAATATTGGTAGGGTAACCGAAGTACTCGGAAAAAACCTGCCCCAGGGCCATTTTGTCCACCACAAATCCCACTTGACCAGACCCGGGATCGAACCCGGGCCGCCGCGGTGTGAAGCCAACGACGAACAACTTGAGCTATGACGGGGCCAATAAGTAAAGTAAGCAAAGCTATCCCTGCAACAGACCTTGGAGGCCAATACGGTTGTGAGATGTTGAGGTTCCCACATTTTCTAGACAATCGGCTCACAGATGGCAGTAAGGTTGTCAACCCTACGCGCCGGCCGCCCTTTACCCTCAGGAAGATTCCTGGTACTCATTTATGTTAGAGTTGATCCCAGGGCCATAGTGCGGCTGGAAGGATTAGGTTATTTTAAAAAATCCAATGACCTCATCGGGACTTGAAGCCTCGACCTTCCAGCTTGTAGCATAGTGCCTCAACCAACTACGCTACCGCGTGCTCCCTACGGATATTAAGGCTCCTATAAATTGTAAACAAAGATATCTAAACATGCGGCCCAAGACAATATATAATTTATGCAGAAGATAAGGTGTAGTAGTACAAACACATAAAGCAGCAGGCTTGAGATAAGAAACGGGAGAGTTTAGACAAAAAGGGCGACAAAGTGCATACCGATACGGAAAGCACGACAAATCGTAAATATGAATATTCAACATTTAACATCCCCGACAAAAAAATATCTACTGAAAAATTTCCACGTGTATGAAAAGCCTTATCTTCTGGACTGTTACGTCGCGTTTCGAAGGAACGCACTGATTCTAAGTTCGACGACTAAGCTAACCAAGAAACCAACAACTGGTAAAACTTAGTATGTTCATCCGAAATTTCTACCACACTAGACGGTATCACATCCCATCACATCACCGCCATGATAACATCAGGTATCATACTGTCACGTGACAAAGTGACTCTCGAAGGGGTTTTTGATTGGAGAGTGGATTTATTGACTTTAACATACGACCCGTGACTACACTTAATTATACCGCCATCTTTGATCTTCACACTTTACAAACCACTACAGCACGCAGTGAGTCTTTTCCGTCTACTGTGTCTTCACCAGCAGTTGCCTGGTAACGGCTCCAACAATGGCTATCCCTTTGCTTTCGTAATCAAGTCCTCTCTGAATGGCGGCTTCCTTACAACTGTCTAGCACCCAGGAATTTGACAGTATCTCAGAATACAGCGTCGAAAGATAGGATGAATACTGAATTGTAAATTATCTGGCAGGAAGTAGTCGTCGCTTAATTTGGGTAATATTCCGGAATTTGCCTGAAGAAAACCTCAGAACACACAGTGCTTCGTCAGAGGTTCGAACCAAATGTCTTCCGAATACAGACCTACAGTGTTACCGCTACATCAGTCTGCTCTGTAACAAATGAAATTTAACAGTTAATAATGTGAGACCCGTTGACATTCAACGAGACGTTTCATCGTTTGTTACACAAGTTTTCTTCTTAGCAACTTATCTTGGTTTCTCCCGTATTACTTTCCAGTAATACATGATATGTGGAGGCCGAGTTATAACGCCATCTCCCTTATCGTCTCCCTTATTTATTCTACACTTCACATCAAAACAACATAAATTATCATATAATAGGCACGAGAGAGTGAAACAAAGGACTGCTCGTTCGTTCATGACCTACAGCACAACTTACGTTCATGTAACATGTTCATTCGATTCAGTCATAAAGCTGGACCATTCTTGAGAAGCCGCCAGTTGTACAGCTACTCAAGAAATTCCCAACATTTTATGGAACCCGAAAGTTCATTACCATGTTCACAAGAGCCCTCCACTGGTCCCTACCCTGAGCCAGATCAAATCCAATCCATACCACCCCACCCTACCTCTCTAAAATCCATTTTAATATTATTCACCCAACTACGTCTTGATCTTCCTAGTAGTCTTTTCCCTTCTGGCTTTCCCACCAATATCCTATACGCATTCCTCGTCTCCCCCATTCGTGCTACGTGACCTGCCCACCTCATCCTCCTTGACTTGATCATTCTAATTATACTTGGAGAAGAGTACAAGTTATGAAGCTCCTCATTATGCAGTTTTCTACAACCTCCTGTCACTTCATTCTCTTCGGTCCAAATATTCCCCTCAACACACTGTTCTCACCCTCAGTCTATGTTCCTCAATGTCAGAGACCAAGTTTCACACCCATACAGAACCACAGGCAAAGTAGTATGTTAACTCGCGAAATCTTCTTACTATGGTAACTCAAAATTGAGTAACAGAAATTATAAATCTCGTGCTTATATAAAAAGGTTTACATAAAAAGTAAAGGTAAAGCTGTCCCTGTGCTTAACTAATTATGCAGTACGCCATGGAGACGTATTGGGGGAGTGGATGTATAGCTCCACCATTTTTGACCTCGGTTCCAGATGAAGTTGAGTGGTCAGCTTCACACACTGACCGCCTTAAGCCGGGGAAATCGCCCCCGGTACCCACTGGATACGTGGTTGTGTGGGCCTCAGAGCCGATCAGGACCCTAAAGAGGAGAAAAATCCCCTACCAGGAATCGAACCCCAATCGTCCAGTCCTTAGCCCGTCGTTATACCGACTGAGCTATCCCTACTCTTACGTAAAAAAGCAGAAAAGTATTAAAATATTTAATATTAAACCTAAAAATTCTTCTCAGTTTCGAGTACGTTGTGAGTTACATTGGAGCAATACAGACTGAGCTACCTACTGCAGCTGTAACGCTCTACACTTGTGCTCAACGGCTACACCGACACGTTCTTCGTCGTTTTCCTCAGACCCTGAAGGTAAATGCCGGGGAGAAGCACCTCGATTAGAGTCACAGCCACTTCTTTCCAATTTCTTGTCAATTCATTAACCATCCAGCACTGGAAGCTACGCTGAGCTGTAGATTCTATCTGTCTGTCTACCTATCAGTCTTTCTTTCTGTCTATCTGCCTATCTATCTGTCTATTTGCCTATCTGTCTAGCTGCTTGTCTATCTGTATATCTGCCTTTCTATCAGTCTATCTATCTATCTGTCTAGCTGCATGTCTATCTGCCTATGTGCCTTTCTATCAGTCTGTCTATCTATCTATCTATCTATGTCTTTACAGGCCTTTATTTTTTCTTGATTTTTACACAGCCGGTATGACTCCTTGAATTGGACATGAGCCCGACGCAAGGTCTCTACCTACACACAGAATAAACGCACACAAACAACCATGTCTTGAGTGGGATTCGAACCCACGTTCCCAGTGTTTGAGCGGTATGAATAGGAACAGGTATGACGTACGTACTGCGAGATAATTTTACGCTTTTCTTGCAACAAACATAGAAATACTCCCACCAGAACATTCACAGACTGTAGGAACAGAGATGAGTTATGACCTTTACGTTAGAAAATAAATTATCTTATTTCTGGAATGTTTAACTGAAAATATTGACAGATATATGAGGGTCATGTGACCTGTTTCTTACGTGCTGCAGGAAGTATAACACTGCGCAAGTTAAGTGCCTTTTGTTCAATGTGACTCCGTAACACGGCAGGCAATGTGCGTTGAAGCCTAACTGCTTTGCACCAGCGCGGCTCGAGCCCTGCACCGATCTGACGACAGTAACGCCAACATGGAGCCGGCCAAGAAACGAGAGAAACTTAACCCCAGGGGAACAGCCAACCCACTCTCCAAACTTCTCTTCTTGTGAGTATAAAACATTTTTTCAAATTAAGGATTATTGCATTTAAGGGAAATACCAGCTTATAAAATGGGTATCGGGGGGGTTAAGTAGCCGAGGCATGAAGCTAACCACTACTACCGACGTCAAGAATAGTGGAGATGTGACTCCACTCACCCGTACGTTTTCATGGCGTGGTGCTTAATTAATTAAACAAAGGGACAACTATACCTTTTACCTTTACTTTATTTAAGGATTCATAAGGCCGCGTAATAGCTCAAACGGTTAGTCGCTGGCTTCCCGATCCCGGGTCTGGTCAAGTGGGATTTGTGGTGAACAAAGTGGCGCTGGGGAAGGTTTTCTCCGAGTACTTCGGTTTCCCCTGCCAATCTTCATTCCACCAATTGCTCCACAATCACCCTCACCTATCATCTGGGGCTGGTACAATAGGCCAGAAGTGGCCGCAGTACAAGGGACTTAGTCCCACCCCACTAGCA